ACTGGTATGTTTGTAACTCTTCCTGATGGGTCTCGGGTAGATGTTACTCATAAAGGTTCTGTGCAATTATCTCCTACATTACTTGTCCGTGATGTATTGTTGATTCCTTCCTTTTCCTTCAACTTGTTGTCTGCTAGTCAGTTAGCTAAACAGAATGAGTGTGAGTTGATATTCTCTCATTCTCATTGCTTGATTCAGGATATCCAGTCCCGGCAGAGGATTGGTATAGCTAAGCAGATTGCCGGGCTGTACTACCTCCCAGTCGAGTCTGGACGAGAATCTTCTTCTCTATCCCTTCCTATCACTTTATCTGCTGTGTTTGACACAACTATTCGCCAATTTGATAGATGGCATTATCGTCTTGGTCATAGTTCAGTTCCAGGTCTTAGTGATAGTAATAAGTGTCAACATTTGCATTGTTCTGTCTGTCATGTTGCCAAGCAACGTCGTTTACCGTTTCAGTCCAGTTCTTCCTATGCTGCTGGTATGTTTGATTTGGTTCATATTGACATATGGGGTCCATATGGCATTCCTACTATTGATGGACATCGATACTTTCTTACTATACTAGATGATCACTCTAGAAATACATGGTGTTACTTAATGACTTCTAAGTCAGAAGCTAGGTCTATTGTGCAATCTTTTTGTGCTTATGTACATACTCAGTTTTCTAAACAAGTTAAGGTCATCAGGACTGATAATGGGTCTGAGTTTTCCATGCCATCCTTTTATAACTCCTTAGGAATCATTCATCAAACCACCTGTAATGCCACTTCACAGCAAAATGGCCGTGTTGAGCGCAAGCAACAACATATCATTGCTGTGGCTAGAGCTCTTCTTATGCAAGCTTCTCTTCCGATTATGTTTTGGGGACATGCAGTGTTGCATGCTGTCCATCTCATTAATCGATTACCAACTCCAGTCTTGAGTAATAAATCACCATTTGAACTTCTTTTTCACAAACAGCCTGATTATGATTTATTACGTGTCTTTGGTTGTTTATGCTACGCGTCCACATTAGCTCACAACCGTCCTAAGTTTTCACCTAGGGCTGAACCTTGTGTTTTTCTTGGTTTTCCTTTTGCCACAAAGGGGTATAAACTATATAGCTTAGTTTCTCACAAATTCTTAGAGTCTAGGGATGTTTCTTTTCATGAAAATTTTTTTCCCTTTTCAACAATAATCTGTCCTTACAATCTCTAGATCAGGTTCTTCCATTCATAGAAATTCAGCCAATTGAACATTCTGTTTCCCCCTCCCCAAATACTCCTTCTCTTCCAATACCCTCTAATCCTTCTGCTTGCATTCCGGCCGACATTCCAAACACCTTACAATCATCTTTTCCACTAGTTTCTCAATCCAATAACAGTGATCAACCTAGCAGCAGTAATCACCCTACAAACAGTGTTCCTCTTAGGCGTTCCGACAGAATTAGGGTACCTCCTAAGAAACTTAGTGATTACATAAGAACTAATGCTAAAACTAAGTATCCTATTTCCCAAGTTCTTTCTTATGACAGGCTGTCCCCTACTTATCGACGGTTTGTCATGGCTATTCACAATGAAATCGAACCAGCCACTTATGCAGAAGCTGCGAAGGATCCAAGGTGGGTCGAGGCTTGTGATTTAGAACTCCTTGCATTGGCTAACACCAATACTTGGACTCTAACCCCACTGCCTCCAGGTAAGCGTGCAATAGGTAATAAATGGGTATTTCGTATTAAGTTCAAACCAGATGGTAGTATAGAACGCTATAAAGCGAGATTAGTTGCCAAGGGTTACACTCAAACCCCAGGACTGGATTATTTGGAAACCTTTTCTCCTGTAGCAAAACTTACTACTGTTCGTGCATTACTTGCTTTAGCTTCTATTAGAAATTGGCATGTACAACAATTAGACGTTAATAATGCTTTTTTGCATGGTGATTTAGATGAAGAAGTTTATATGAAACCTCCTCCAGGTTTACATTTACCATCTAAAAATCTAGTTTGCAAGTTAAATAAATCACTATATGGGTTAAAACAGGCTAGTCGACAATGGAATCATAAAATCACTCAATTTTTGATCTCTGCTGGCTATACACAGTCTAAGGCAGATTACTCTTTGTTTACTAAGTCTAACAAGGGTAAGTTTCTTGCTGTGTTGGTTTATGTTGATGATGTTATATTGGCTGGTGATGATTTAGAATCTCTCAATTTGTTAAAGTCTCAATTAGATGATGCTTTTAAGATCAAAGATCTTGGTCAGCTTAGATACTTCCTAGGCTTAGAAATAGCAAGAACCTCTGCTGGTTTTTCTGTTTGTCAGCGTAAGTATGCGTTGGATTTGCTTACTGATGCAGGGTTGCTTGCTGCCAAGCCTGCTGCCACTCCTCTAGCTGCTGGAAATCAGCTTTCTCATACTGATGGTAACCCAATTTCTGACCCTGAATTATATCGTAGACTTGTAGGTCGTCTATTATATTTGTGTCACACTCGTCCAGATATTGTCTTTGCTGTGCATCATTTAACCCAGTTTATGAGTAAACCTTCTGATGTTCATCTTACTGCTGCATATCGTGTTTTGAGATACATAAAGAATAATCCTGGCCAAGGATTATTCTTTCCTAGCTCATCATCTCTTAAGCTAACTGGATTTTCGGATAGTGATTGGGCTGGATGCCCAGATTCTCGTAGATCCACAACTGGTTATTGTGTGTTTTTAGGTGACTCAGTCATTAGTTGGCGATCAAAGAAACAGCCTACTGTTTCTCGATCATCAACTGAAGCTGAATATCGTGCAATGGCAGACTTGACATGCGAGGTACAGTGGCTGCAGTATATCTTTCGTGATCTAGGTGTTAGTTTTAATTCTCCTACTACTCTGTTTTGTGATAATCAGTCCACTATTCGCTTAGCCGAGAATCCCGTTGCTCACGAACGTACAAAACATATAGAAATTGATTGTCATATCATTCGTGATCGCATTCTCTCAGGTTTGATTAAGGTTATGCATGTCCACAGCGAACACCAACTCGCTGATGTTTTCACCAAGTCTCTGTCTAGTGCTGTGTTTTCAGGATTGATCTCCAAGCTGAATCGTTTGGACATACACGCTCCAGCTTGCGGGGGGCTGTTGGAGGACTCGGTAGTGAAGAATAATTAGTTTAGGGACTATATTGTAATAGTTGTTTTATTTCTGTATTTGTTAATTTGTTATACAGTATATATTGTAAAATGGATAGTGTAAATTTTAACCGGTTTTAATAAGAAAAGTAGACAATTTTCTCTCTCCAAGATTCAACATTGGATTGCCAGATGCTCATAGCCAAGATTGAGCAGAAAGAAGTCGATCATAAGGAAAATAGTGGAATTTGTGAGTTCATTCGATGTCTATGAACAAGTCTTTCAAGCGAAGGAGAAGGCAGATCTACAGATCTGGTTGGAGAAGAGCTAGGTGTCGATGTATCCGGAGTGGAAGGCGGAACAATAGAGACTAGAGAGGGAAGAGGTAGAGCAGGTCGTTGGGTTCGACTTTGAAGAGGTCGATCTCTCAATCGCCAGAGATAAACGTCTTACGGAGGCGGTGGAAGATGAGGAGGAAGGGAGGAGGAAGACGATATGGAATAGGTATGGAATAGACATGGACAGTGATAGGGAATCAATTTGGCCGACGGAGCTCTCCCTATTTTAGGTTTAGGAATTCGGTCAACGCCCTCTTTCCGTCGGCGGTGGAACGAGGGGTGAGATTAGTTCATTAGGTATTTAAAATGAATAATTTTTAATTTTTAATAATAGTGATAATGAGGTGGAATATTTAAAATTAATTTTTTTAATAATTTTTAATTGCCACGTCACAGATTTAATGGTCAATTATGAGAGTTGACTGCCACGTCAACCAAAGTTAACGGAGTTGGACGGAGAGTGACCAAATTTGGATTGTTTTACTAAAATGTAGTGATCATAAATGGATTTAAATATTTTAAGTGGCCAAACATGAATGTTTTTTGTAATTTCAATGACCAATAATGCAATTAACCCTGAATTTTGCCTTAAAAGTAAAAGTGTTAATAGCATTTCGTATCTCTCTATTATTGTAAATTAACAAACGTACCCCTCTATTAATTTTTTACACAAACATATCCTTTTAGTATTAAAACGTAACGAATATACACTTCCTTCTAATTTTCTGTTAAATCACTATTTAATGAGCTGTAAAAACTAACAAAATTTGTTAATTTGCAATAATAAAGGGATACGAAATGCTATTACCCCAAAGTAAAAACTGACATAACTTAGTAGCTACTGCCTACTAGTAGTTCGTGGACGAAAGGAAGTGGACACTATAAAATTATTCGTTCTCTTAATATTTTTACAAATACCCTATTAATAATTCGAGTTATTAAGAGATATTTTATAATAAATTGTACATCATTGGCTTTTTATAATTAGTAGTTTGCATTTGCCAGGTCCGTTTTGGATCGGATCAAACTCATGAGACTTGCGATTCATTGGTAAAAGATATTTTAAAATCAAATATTAGATCATATTACATTTGGTCCGGTTTAGTAAGATCAAAATGTCAATCCATTCTATTTTTCTTTCATAGTTATAAAATTCATGAGATAAAAAAACGTATCACATTATACTCACTGTGCAAACGTTGATTTCGTCTCGTCATCTGGTGCAAATCAAACAAAACAGTTGCACACCCATATTTTTTTTTATATAATCAATATGGGCTTTTATACAATCCTCAATAAAATTAATTGAATACAAAGACAGCAGGCCAAGCCTTGGAGAAATTTTACAATACTATATAGTATTGGTGCTATAGGTTTTTTCTTTTATGGTACAACTTAAAATTGTACATTTACGTTATGGTACAACTTCAAATTGTACCTATACTTTTTGTACAAATTCTTTTATGGTACAACTTGAACTTGTACCTTTATGTGATGGTACAACTTCAAGTTGGAAAGTTGTACCATAACATAATGGTACAAATTGCTTTATGGTACAACCTAAACTTATACATTTAATGTTATGGTACAACTTTGAGTTGTACATTAAAGCACCAATGCTATATAGCATAGTAGAAGTGCTCCCAAGCCTTTTACCATCTCTCTCATTTCATTACTCACTTCACCCGCCTCGGTATTTGAGACCTTAACATTCATGCTCCTGGTATAGAAATTGTTACTTGTCGGAGCGACGAAGCTTTATTCTCGAGTTCAGCATTCTGATTTCGGCTGATTAACTCGTTTCCTGCTCTAGGAGCTCTTAACCTGACACCTTTCGGATAATTTCATTGACATACATGTTTCTGCTCGACACAGATTCGTCTAATCCAATGCTTTCGTGATACTGTAACTAGCCAAGTCACCCTTTAAACTCAGTTTCGTTAGGCATTCAATTTCAAGAGTTTCAGGCTCTCCAAGTTTCACATATCAGATACTGTAACTAGCTTTTAGTTTCGCTTTCGAATACTCAACTGTTGATGGTAAATAAAACCTGTTATCATTAAGCTAGCCATGCAGGCTTTGTTCATATACTACCATCTGATTCTGACCAGCGGCAACTGGCATGGGAACCGTTTTATAAAGAAGTAAACAGTTACTAAATGAAAAAGGTTTCTAGAGAATAGGAATGAAGCTCCTGCAGCAGCTGATAACACAGAGAAAAAAAATTATTCAACATATGAGGGACAGATCTAGTCCTTAATCTAAAACCCCAGTGACCTCCTTTCGGCACAATTCTGGTGAAGGCCAGAGATTCTATTATCCCAAGTTCAGCTGCAGCAAAGCTCGTTTCCATTTTCAGTGAAGTGCATAATATATGAGACAGGGTCAAAAACAGAAGGAGCTCGCGAGTTGGCATGCATGGTGAGTATTGGAGGTTGGCAATCATTTCTAGTTGCAGCAGAATGCAAACAGTAACTGGTTACTGAGCTCCTGATCTCAACCTGACAACAGGCAGAGTATACAAGAGCTAAAGTTTGAGTAGAAACAGGTAATTACAGCATCATTTACTAACACACACTGTGGAATCCCCTTTCAATGATGGTGGGGAGGAATTTAAGATGGAAATTGTGGGTTTTACCTGTATAAAAAAAATTGTAGCATTTACCCACCAAACTTGTGATTCAGGAATCAGGAACCAAAAAGCATAAAATTTTCAGCCATCACTTTGAGAGCTCCCTGTTGACATTCTTCAGGGGCTCCATGTGAGACCAGTCCTGTACTGATTCCTTCGTATCCTAGCCTGCCAAAAAGAATGCAAAGGGTGCAGTAGGCCGTTTCAGTGAGAGAATATCCAGTTTGGACAGAGAGGTGTTAATAAACGAAAGAAAGAAGAGATCTTTTTGATGCTGTACGAAGTGAGAATTTCATGGATCTCTAAAACCAAGCATATAATAAAACTAGACACAATTTAGCATGTAGAACCTTACGAGGAAGTTGGCCGGTCGAACAGTGCGCTCATCAGCCTGAGTCCATAATGTTGAGAGACAAGTTTCCTCATCTTCTTGAATGTTACACAATCAATATACGACTTGGTTAGCCGTTAGCCATCACCAAGTACTCCAAGCAAATTTGCTATAGCAATGAACCTGCAGGAGACGGATACTTTTATCGATCATCATACCATTATATTGCTCAACTTGATTTCACAACCAACCATAACTAGGCACAGTTCAGCGTAATGGCAAAATCGCCAAACTTGGAGCTTACCAAGTTAGAATCAAGTGCTCATCGGCTTGATTCCGCCTGGCCTTCCTTTTTCGCCTTCTCCTCGGAGATCATCTAAGAGTGAAAACGAAGGTTGCTTTAGCAGATAAAAATGACAGATAAACTGTTGGAAAAATATAAAATAAATAGATAGATATAGCTGGTGAAGCGAGAACAAAGGGAGATCAGAGAGAAGGAAGTTCCAAACCTGTAGTATCCGCGGGAAGTTGTTCCAGTGATCCTCATCCCACGGAGACAGCCCATCTTGGTTAATTAAGAACCCATCAATTGTGATATTCGGGACGTGGGAGATGTTGTGCCAATTCAAAGTCTCTTCCAGCCCTAAACAATTATCAATTCTAATCTCTTGCAAAGAGGTGAGGTGTTGCATTCCCTGCAGCCATTCCTTGGGGAGATCATCAATTCCGCTGATGTGCAATTTCTTCTTCAGTTTGGAAAGAGGGTACTGCAGGGTTTCCACTTCACTTGAAGAAGAGGGAGATGATGATGATGATGAACAAGAAGCGGTAGATGGTACGATATGTCCTGCCGACGACATGACCAACGTGTCTAGTAGCGGTTGTATGCCAGAGGACCTCAGCACTAGCTCCACATCGAGTGTTGGGAACGAAGGCATTGAGGTTAGGACAAAGCAGTGGCCTATGAGCAGTTTGGAAAGTTTAGGGAACTGGAGAGGCTTCCTCCTCCATCCTTTTAATCGAGGACATTGACAAAGTTCAAGTTCCTTGAGGGAGGGGAAGAATGGTGTGGATGCTGCTTTCTTTCCTGCACCTTCATCTTTATCGTCCATGTACTCCAAATGGATCAACCCGCCGAGGTAGAGCTTTTCGAGGCTCGGCAGTCCTTGCAGGTGGTGCAAATCATGCTGCACGTTGCACCAACCCAGATGCAGATTAACCAGCTGAGTGAGAGAACAAATCCAACTAGGTAATTTCCTTCCTTTGTGCCCAGTCACGTAAAATGATTTCAAACCGGAGTGAGGTCGAAGGCTTTCTAGCAAGTTCTCATCGAAGTGAACATCTTCTTCAGATCCCTTTAAAAATTGTATCTTTTCTCGTATTCCTTTTCCATGTCTCCCATCATCCCACCGCAGTGACAGAGTTTGAAGATGGATCTTCCCTTTCAGATGAGCTGCCCCGCCGATTATGAATGCCATTAACGGTGGTGACAATGCAGTTGTAGTGCCACGAACACGAAGACGTGCCAGATTCTCAATCTGGAGTGTACCTCTCAAGTTGTTCAGGTTTTTGAGCTCATCCAAGCCACCGATATGATCAAGAACGGAACTATCCTTTCCCACCACAAAACATGGTAATGATTCAAGGCGGGTCAGTTCACCCAGCCCCGCTGGCATGTGGGTCAAGGCGAGACAGTATCCACAGTTAAGGATCAACAGATTCACAAGTTTGCTTAAATCCTTAGGGAGCTCTACGAACCTTTCACACTTAAAAAGGTCTAGCACCTCTAAGTTTCCAAGCATGGTGATAGAGTCTGGCAACCTGATTATTTTATCGTTGAACGAGAGATCCAAAAACCTAAGGTGTCTTAGTTCTCCAAGCCGATGCGACAGCATCTCCACTCCGGAGTTTCGAAATTCAAGGACGCGCAGACTTGCAAAATTGGAAACTAAAGTTTCAAAACTCGACTCATCCCATGTTGTTCCCCATTGATACCATTTTGCAGACTTCTCAGGCGAGACACTAAACACTCGCAAGCAGCGTTTGGCTTTCGCCAATCGAGAAGCAACTTCCGAGGGACTCCACAAGTCATGGTTCAGTGAGATGTAGCAAGTATCTCCGGTGATCTCATTTTCGGGATCATTTAATTGGGTGTAAGTTGAACCCGCCATTGAGATAGCAAGGTCGTGGACTGAATCATGCATTTTACAAGTATCTATGTTGCCGAGCAAATCTCGTTTTATTTCTTGAAAAAAAGATCTACATGTCAAATCCATAAAATACTCGAGACCCAATTTGTATAAACTTTGTTCGGAACCATTAGGTGATGATTTAACAAGCCCCAGTGCAATCCATTTATATATGAGTACTTGAACATCAATTCTGTAGTTTTTCGGGAAAAGGCTACACAACAAAAAGCAACGTTTCAAATGCGAGGGAAGATAATCGTAGTTCAGTTTTAAGTTCTTCAGTATGCCATCCTCATGGCCAGCAGGTAAAAGTTTATCAGACCTAAGAAAGGACAACCACTCGGTCTGTGGATATTTGAAATACAGTATGGTAGCTAATGTTTTCACAGCAAAGGGGACCCCGACCGAATTTTTCATTACCTCGGTTTGAATCTCTTCCACGTTAATTGTGTTTAGTGGTTCGTTTGCCAGTTGTTGGTCGCCGCCGGCAACTACCAGCCTGAGCAATGACCATGATTGTGGGGAGGATAGACCGTGCAAAACATAAGGCGGACGAAAAGAGCCACGACTCATCATTATTGCGTAGTTCTCAAACTGGGTAGTGATCAAGATCTTGCTTCCACTTGCACCACCCTCGAGTATAGATCCCAAAAAATCCCATTTTCTACACTCCAAGTTGCATAGATCGTCCAGCACCAGAAGGTACTTCTCCCTTGTGAAGTATTCCTCGACGAAATTACACAGACTCTCGCGTTGAAAGCTTGGGTTTTTCTGCCCTGTGACCGTGTCCACAATCCTTTGGAGAATCGCATCAACCTCAAAAGACTCTGACACACATACCCACAATCTCAGGTCAAACTCCTGCACCACATCCTTGTCATTGTAGACAAGCTGAGCAAGTGAGGTTTTACCCATCCCACCGATGCCAGCTATGGAAACCGCAGCGACGTTAGTGCTACTCTCTTTAGCAAACAAAAATTCCTTAATATACCTTACATCATCTTCTCTCCCGACGAATATGTCGGGGATGAAAGACATGGTGAGGGTATGCTTCCTCATCTTCCCTGACTCCTCGTGACGAGGAGTCAGGGACAATTTGGTGTTATCATCATGTATGGCTTCCAATTGCTCTCTGAGTGTCTTAACTTTATGAGCCATCTTATAAAATAAAAATAAAAAAACTTTATGAGCCATCTTAATACCGCAAATCAATTGGCTTGAAACAGATAAAAGGAAGCATACCCGATTTCCTGTGGCCATTTCCTCCGGCAGAGCCTCAGTGGCAACATCATCAAGAAGGTCCTCTGCGTCAAGCAGGAGGATCTCTAGCTTCTGGAGCCAGTCCTTGACTTGAGGACTGTGCTCCTGCTGCTCCTCTGCATCGAGCAGAAGGGCCTGAATGGAGGCCATGGTGCCATTCAGCTTCTGGAGTTCGGTTCGAAGGTTCCACTGCAGAGCTGCCTCAGACTGAAGGAAAGGAGCCAGCCTCTCCAGAATTGTTTTTCCCACGCTGAACAGAGAAATAGAAGTCATCTTTTTTTGTGAAAGAGAAGAAGAGGAAGAGTAAAATTTGCTGGTTGCTTTGTGAATTGTGATGTACTGAAAATCTGAAATGCAACTACTTATTTAACAAATCAGAGTTCACGTGGGCTGCCAATTGTGATCAATTTTTTACTCTCAGCCGCCTATGTTCTAGATTGGTGGGATGAAATAATTGAGTTGCTGAGCCGCCGTCCTCATTGGCATCCAGCGAAGATTTGCCTTCTAGCGTCGATGTTGATAGTTTTCATAGTCTCCTTCTTACCACCCCCACCTTCTTTGAATTTAATCCTATTACCAACCACTTGGAATTCACGTTGCCTGCTCCGTTTTTCCGGCGAAAGACGACAACTTAAACATTCAGACGAGAACTGGAGGGGGTTGGATTGAAGAGGAAGGAAGAGAACGGACCTCGTTCAGCTCAATGTCTTGCCGGCCGCCATCGGGACCAAACTCTCGCCGGAGGCAGAGCAACCGTTTCACGTCTCCATCTCTCGCTCTCGCAGCTCTTTCGCTGGCAGAAATTGGGGAGAACAAAATATTTGCCCCGGAGACGAATTATGAAAAATCCGATCAGCGACGAAATTCTAGGTTTGCGATGTGCGGGGAAGGGTCCAAAAGAAAACGAAGAAAGAAGCACTGAACCAAGATGGTTATGAATCTTTATCGTTTCTTTCCTTTAGTCTTTTAGATGAATGGGCTTTAACTAAGACTAACCTAAGCCCACAGTTTTGGTTAGACTAAACAATAAAGCCCAGAAGCCTTTCTTATTTTAAAGACCCAGAAGCCATTTTTTTTTTTTTTATAAATGGATGCAGAGCATCTCAGCCTTCATTCAAAACCAGACGGGGTTCGGAAACCCCCTGAATGTCATACAAAAGCCAGTGACCAAGCGTGGGATCATCAAAGGGAAAATAACTGAAGCCCAAAGGCACATGATGACCCCGACTAGCTAAATAATCGGCACACTTGTTGCTCTCTCTATAAACATGGGAAGTGGAAACCTCCCAATCTCTTCCAATAAGCGCCTGGAAACGGCCAACTACTGCTGAATGTCGGTGATCCTCGCGATGGGGGCTCTGAAGAATCTGAAGAGCACACCGTGAGTCAAGCTGGACTTTGACCCGGCGGAAGCCTAGATCCCAGGCCAGCTGAAGTCCCTCTGCAACGCCTCTCAACTCAGCTCGGGTAACAGAGCAAATCCCGAGGTTCATGGTGAACGCCGCAAGGCAGCGTCCAATGTGATCTCTAATCAGGCCACCAGCAGCCGCGTGACTTGACTCTGGGTTGACGGAGCCCTCAGAGTTGAGAGTAACCCACTCAGGAGGAGGCGGCGTCCAAGAGATCATCTCCTCCGTTCTAGCAGGCGGACTCGGATGTTGTATTTCCTTGTCCCTGTCCATAGCATTCTGCACTACATTTACCCATGCCTGGACGCGGTGCAGAAAGACTTCAGCTGAAACGACCTTGCCTGCAAAGACGCGGTCATTCCTGGTCCTCCAGAGGGACCAGCAAAAGATGCCGAAAAGCAGGCTCAAGCTTGGCTGGCGGATATATCTCAGAAGCCAGTCCTGAAGATGGAGACCGAAGAACGTCTGGTGTTCAGAAGGCTGGATGACCTGCAACCAAGTTAACCGGGGGAAATGACAATCCCGCAACACATGCAGGATTGTTTCGGGGCCATTCTTATAGTGGGAGCACAGCGCTGAGGGGGTCAGGTGACGACGCTCGCGCTCCGCATTGGTGAGCAGGCGATCCCGGGCCGCCAGCCACAAAAAATGACGAACCCGGGCTGGCCCCTGCCACCTCCAGATAGTACGCCAGTCCGTCGAGGAGGTCGTGCCGTCTGCCTGAGCCGCAATGTTGTAGGCGGAGCGAACCCGGAATCGTCCATCTTGCTCGGGTCCCCAAGTCGCCGAGTCCTCCCCCGCGAGCTCCTGGGGAGGTTGGACACCGATAACCTGCAAGACCCCGTCCTCGGTTAGAAGTTGTTTAAGCATGGCAATGTCCCACTCACCTGAGGTCTGCACGAGCGCTGCCACCGGGAGGTTGGGGTTGGGCTCAGGGCCTCCTGGCCGAGCATAATCTAGTAGCAGCTCTCCACCATCGATCCAGCGATTCGTCCAAAAGCTTGTAGATAGGCCATTCTTGATGCACATTCTCGTCCCCTCCGCCATAATGGGCCAAGCTTTGAGAATACCCTTCTAGAGGGATGAAGCTCGCGTCTGGGATTTGAGCCTCAATTCCCCATGGACTGTTTTGAAGTATTTAGCCTGCAAAACACGCACCCAAAGATCATCTTTGTTTTTAGTAAACAACCAAGCAAGTTTAGCCAGGAAAGCGAGGTTTAGCTCATGTGCTTTGCGGATGCCCAGTCCACCCTCATCCTTGGACTGGCAAACCCCATCCCAGTGAACCAGGTGGATCTTGCGGGCGTTGGCAGTCGAGCCCCAGATGAAGCTTCAGATCCGCCTGTCGATCTGGTCACAAATTGAGATAGGCAGATACGTCGTCTGCATGGCGTAGGAAGGCAGCGTGTTGAGGACGGACGTCGCCAGCGTCACACGCCCTGCATGAGATAGGCTATCAGCCTTCCACCCCGTTAACTTCTTGTCCATACGGTCCAGAATGTACTTGTACGTATCCCTCGTCACGCGGTCATGAAGCACAGGGACCCCCAGATATCTCCCCAGGTCCTAAGTCGGCGGCATGCCCAGGATGCGGGCAACGGCACCACTGCACGACCTCGCGGTGTTCTGCGAAAAGTAAACCACCGATTTTTCCTTGCTCACTTGCTGACCCGAGGCTTGACAGAACTGGTCTAGGCAGTCCATGATAACCTGCCCCTGAGTCTCCGAGGCCTCTGCAAACAGAATGAGATCGTCAGCAAAAAATAAATGGGAGAGGACCGGGCCACCTGGTGAGGTTTTGATCGGCTTCCAAGACCCCTGCTGCACTTCTTTCTCTATCAGGTGACTTAGTCTTTCCATGCACAGAGTGAACAGGTAAGGAGAAAGGGGGCAGCCTTGCCGAAGACCCCGGGAGGGAGTGAAGGGTTCAGTGCAGCTACCATTCCAAAGAACATGCATCGTCGGAGTGGAGATGCAGGCCATGATCACCTCGACCAGCTTCATGGGGAACCCTGCAGCGATGAGCGTGTCCCGGACAAACGGCCAACTTATCCGATCATACGCCTTAGCCAGGTCAATCTTGATTACCATCTGGCCCTTCCTACCTCGCTTGAGATTCATTGAGTGAACTACCTCCTGCAAGATAATAATATTATCCGTGATGTGACGCCCCGGAACGAAGCTTGTCTGTGTCGGGTGGACGAGAGCGCGCATCAGAGGCTTGATTCGATTCACCAGGCACTTAGTTAGGGACTTGTACACCACGTTGCACAGGCCAATCGGGCGGAACTGTTTAATGGACGTTGGGCTCTCCATTTTCGGGATCAAAACCAGGAGGGTCACATTAACCCCTCCAATAAGGTGCGGCCTCCTGAAACATTCCTGCACAAAAGTAGAGAAGGATTGCCCCACCGTGTTCCAGCACTTTTGGTAGAAAACCGGCGGGTACCCATCCTGTCCCAGGGCCTTGAAGCCTCCCATCCCCTTCACTGCGAACCAGACTTCCTCCTGCTTGATATCACCAGCAAGGTAGGTCGCCTCAGCCTCAGGGATCTTATCAAATGCTGCTGCCAAAAATGGGGCGGGCCCCTCCTCTGCAAGGAAAAGAGTGCGATAGAAGCCGCAGACATGGCTCCGGAGAAGCTGATTAAATGGTGCGGAACTAGCCCCTAGGGATGCAAATGAACCAAACCGTTAACGAGTAACTCGGCACTCGAATCGGAAAATACTCATTCGATACTCGGCTGGTTATTTAACGATAGACAACTTTCAGGAGCTCCTATAGGCTATAGCTGATAAATGAAGGGGAGAAAATTTATCAAACATATGGAGAGTCAGATGATTAGATAAGGGTCAGTGGAGGGTGGGTCTGCAGATCAAGTCCTTCAACTATAACTAGAGGTGGCAATTGGATCGGATTCGTGGATTTGTGGATTGGATTGGTGGATCCATGGATCAAATGGATTGGTGGATTCATGGATTGGATCAAATGGATTGGTGAATTGATCCATGAATCCAAATGACATCCAAGGCTTGGACCAAAATGTAAATTTTGAAAAGTTTAGGTACTAAAATGTCATAATGGAAAATTTTAGGTACCAAAATGTAATTTTTCGATGATATTTTTCGTATAAAAATATAAATTTTAGGTACCAAAATGTAAAATATAAAAATATAGGTACCAAATCGTAATTTGCCATTTGGATCCATGGATTGATCCATGAATCCACCAATCCAATTGGATTTGGATTAGGTGGATTGGATTTAAATGAATTGGATTAGGTGGATAATTTGGTGGATGGATTGGATTGGATTCATGGATTTGAATCATAATTGCCACCTCTAACTATAACGCACAGCGCATCAGCAGAATTCTGGTGCTGGCTGAAGCTCAATTATATTGCAGCAAAGCTCTATCTCTCGCAGCTCGTTCGCTTGAAGAAATTGGGTGAACAGAACATTTTCCAGAGACCATTTTTCTAAAGAAATTTCTAAATCACTGATTCTTGTAGGATTTCCCAGCATAGTCGAAAATCCGATCAGTGGCGAAATTCTAGGGTTTGCGATTTGCGGGAAAGGGAAAGTGAGCGAAATGAGAGATCTCACAAATTCCTCCCTCCTCCAGCTCGCTTCTTTTCCTACCGTCCAAGTGGGCTTTTCTTTCGAAATACACACACGAGGCTTTCTAATCCGAACTGCCCGCGAGGCCCATTTCTTGCCCAGCACTAAATGAACAGCCCCAGTTCTCTCTTTATTCATTGATCACCCCAATTAGGCCTTCTATGAAGCCCAAAGTTCCATCGGTTTGTTTTTCCTTAATTTGGAAGTTTATTTCAAGCAAATGCTCTTGTTCATTAATTTGCGGGGCTAATTGCATGGTGGTCACTTAGATTACAAAAAACGTTCAAGTTTGGTCACTCAAAATATTTAAATTCATTGGTGGTACTTCAGTTTATTGAAACCGTTCACGTTTGGTCATTCTCCGTTCAACTCCGTTAACTTTGACTGATGTGGCAGTCAACTCTCAAAGTGGACCGTTAACTTAGTGACGTGACAATTAAGAAATAATGAATAAAATAAATTTAATCATTTTTAATGTCCAACACGTTTTTACCATAAAACAAAAAAAATATAATATTTATTTTTTGGGCGAAACCTGCTTTCATCCCACATCTGGTCGGAATGGGACTCTACCACCATTTCCATCCCGAGCTCTACAGGATGCCGGGTCTGGCCCGGGTTGTATCGGGTATCAACATATTCGACCCGAAATTCAACATCGCCTCCCTTGAAGCTGACCATTCCATCTACTTCCCTTACACCGACAAGTAGCGCCGCTTCACCAAATTCAGCTCCCCCCCCCCCCCCCCCCCCCCCCCCCCCCCCCCGCACAAACTGAAGAGATCCTCTGTTTTCCCTCTTAACCATTGCCTACTTAAACCATTTTATCCCTGCTTCAAAAAAACTCTGAGCTTTCTGAAACAGTGGAGTTCGATCTCGAAAACCTATTAACGAGCATTTCAAGCTCCAAGGATTCCGATTCGACAATGACACCACTTCTCCTCTTTTCTTCAGAGTCCGATCACATGCCTTCACCGGACTTCCTCAAAACGTCTGTTTATTATGCCTTATTTCGTCGGGAAGCCATCAGAATCGTTTCCCAGGCTGGTTATTCCAGGGGCGGATCCGGGTAACACCCCTAACTTTTGGGAATACGATTATCCAACCCCGGTGGTAATTTACGTATGAACAAAAAAAATATAATTGATAGTGAGGGACACCCCTGAAATTTGAAAACATAATTATCCTACTGTCATTTGTGTATAGGAATATAAGTGGTAGATTGGGTAATTCAAATCTAGAACACTATTCTTATTAATAAACTTAGGAGTCGTTTGCTTTAAGGATTTGGTACATGGATTTGGTACCAAAAAACCAACTATCAATGATTTAGGTACAATCCGTTGTTTGCTTGCACCTTTTTTGGAGACCAAATCCGTGGGGCCCACGGATTTTAATGGTCCAAATTCGTGGACCCCACGGACTTATAAATCCCACATGTTGATGTGGGATTTGGAATATGGCATAAATCCTTGATGAGATTTTACCCATATACCCTCATGCACTTTTAATATTTCAAGGTTGCCCTCAAATTTAACTATTATACATTCTAATTAACAATAAATGAATAATATAAACGTTCAATTAATGTGCAAACATGAGTTAGATTTTTTATATCATTTCTTGTGTTCTAGTTTTCTTTGACCTTTTCATGGAACGTGTAATTCTTTGTTCTCCCGATTCTAATATATGTTGTTATATGTCACTTTTGAAAAGGAGGACAAAGAATTGGTAATTGATTATGTTACGTTTAAAGTTAAAACGAAATTTTCTCGTTTATTATTATTGTCCATGTGGCAACATTATGCTTATTAGTATGTATTGTCCTTGTTTTGTGTACATATCATAAACATGTCAAACATATAGAAAATGATTGTAAGGTAATTTTGAAGTTTTGTCCTTGTTTTGTGTACATATCATAAACATGTCAAAAGTATAGAAAATGGCAGTAATGTAATTTTTGAATTCAAGTAGTAAATCCCACACCTTTAAATCCATGATAAAAACATCCCAACAAACAAAGGATTGTTACGAATCCACGATGCCTCAAATCCTTGATAAATCCTTGGGTTTTTTAATTACAAAACCCTCATTTTTAAATCCATGAAGCAAACGACCCCTTAATTTTCGTTGACCTACAACTCATTTGTTGTTCGATTTTGAAAAATGTAATAGTAAAATGTCATTTCATATCTCTAATTATTTTAAAAACCTAACAATTAAACTAATTTCAAACTACCCTTAATACGGCGAGTGTTGAAAGAGTCTTTTTTGCCCTACCTCGCCACTGGGTTATTGTTCCGAACCCTTTTTGCCCTACCTCGCCGTTAATTACATGGATCGTTTCGCCTCCCGGCTCGAAAACATGGTACTCAATCGTGAATCGTAGTAAAATTCCCTCGCTCTGTTTTTTTTTCTTCCGGTGAGGAATTTCTTATCGCCGTTTATTCTTTTCAAGGAAAACAAGCCATG